CTGTCTCAAAAAAAAAAAAAAAATAGACTAGCTTGGATAATAGCAAGACTCCATCTCTACAAAAAATTTTTAAAATTAGCCAGGGGCCAGGTGTCACAGTGGCTCACATCTATAATCCCAGCACTTTAGGAGGCCGGGGCAGATGGACTGCTTGAGCTCAGGAGTTTGAGACCAGCCTGAGCAAGAGTGAGACCCTGTCTCTAAAAATAGATAGGCATTGTGGTGGGTACCTGTAGTCCCAGCTACTGGGAGGCTGAAGCAAGAGAATCACTTGAGCCCAAGAGCTTAAGGTTGCTGTGAGCTATGATGCCATAGCACTCAAAAGGGTGGCAAAGTGAGACTCTGTCTCAAAAAAATAAAATAAAGGGTGGTGCCTGTGGCTCAAAGGAGTAGGGCGCTGGCCTCATATACCAGAGGTGGTAGGTTCAAACCTGGCCCCCAGCTGCAAAAAATAAAAAATAAAATAAATAAAAATTATCCAGGCATGGTGGTGCATACCTGAAGACCCAGCTAATCTGGAGACTGAGAGAGGAGGCTCACAGGAGTTTAAGGTTGCTATGAGCTAAGGTGATGCCATGACACTCTAGCACAGGGGTCCTCAAACTTTTTAAACAGGGGGCCAGTTCACTGTCCCTCAGACTGTTGGAGGGCTGGACTGCAGACCGGCTGAGGGCCAGACTGAGGGCCAACTGCTAAGCAGGACAGGCAAAGGCAGCAAAAACACCCTGCAGGCCGGATAAATGTCCTAGGCGGGCTGCATGTGGCCTGCGGGCCATAGTTTGAGGACGCCTGCTCTAACGCTCTTAAAATTGCCCCATGTGAACATCATTCTCAATAATCCTAGGGGCTGGATATCACTATTATCCATATTTGACAGGCAGGGGACTGAGAATCAACTCCCACATCAGCAGTGTATACCTTACCAGTGAGAATGATATCACCCTCATGAAGGTAAAAATACATTCTTTTTATTTTTCTTCTGGAAACAGAGTCTCACTTTGTTACCCTCTATAAAGTGCTGTGACATCATAGCTCACAGAAACCTCAGACTCTTGGGCTCAAGTGATTCTCTTGCCTCAGCCTCCCAAGTAGCTGGAACTAAAGGCGCCCACCACAATGCCCCACTGGTTTTAGAGTCAGGGTCTTGCTTTTGCTCTAGCTAGTCTCAAACTCCTGAAGCTCAAGCAATATACCCACCTCAGCCTCCCAGAGCACTAGGATACTCCATCCAACACAAAAGTAAATTCCTTTTATTTATTTATTTATTTTTGAGACATAGTCTCACTCTGTCACCCTGGGTAGAGTACCATGGCATCATAGCTCATAGTAACCTTAAACTCGATTCTCTTGCCTCAGCCTCCCAAGTAGCTGCGACTACATGCACCTGCCATAACACCTGGCAACTTTTGGGGGACAGGGTCTCACTCTGGCTCAGGCTGGTCTTGAAGTCCTGAGCTCAGGCAATCCACCTGCCTCAGCCTCCCAGAGTGTAGGATTAGAGGCATGAGCCACCACACCCAGCCCCAAAAGTAGACAGTCGAGGGAAGAGGACTAAAATAATCTTACTCTTTCTATGTGTAAAAGCATAGAATATAAAGATTTGTGCGATATATGGGTGGCATTAAAAGTTCATGGAGGGTGATTAGGAAAAAAATGTTCTAGAACATTCTAGGGCCTCAAGAAGGAGGTTGATAAGGAAAGACGGGAAACACTGGAGGGTAATAGCAGAAGCACAGCACAACCCAAAGCCCAAGTACCACTGAGTGATCAGCGAGGTTTGGCCTCAGCTCATCCAGAACCACCACGGGCCTCCTCTGGGGGCTCTACCCAAATGCCAGATGTGAGCGTAATAACAAAACAAGCCAACTTCGGGGATTCTCCCACCTGCCCCAGTGGGGTCCTGCTATAGCCCTTGGACTCCCCCTCGTCTGTACCAAACTTTCCTCCAGCTGAAGCCCAGGCCCCTGTGGTAACTTAGGGTGCCCTATAAATGACTTAACCGGAGCACTGGCCAACCACCTCCACACTGTGGCCATGGGATGGGGACGGGGACGGGACTACTTACTTGGGACCTTCCCAGGGCGTAAGGGTTTGTGTGTGGACGCTGCTGGGCCATGCTCTCCAGAGTCACCTGCGCCAGAGAAAAAGGCTCAGTATGTGCAGCTGCTCCTGCCAGCCCCAGAGGCCACCTTTGCCACAGGCGGGAGTGGGCAGGCAGAGGGATTACA